GGAGGATGCATCTCTTAAATTCGAACACAACCATTCAGAAGCTGTAACCGGTCTGGATCTCAGTGAGAACTGGTTAAACTGGACCCTTCCTCTGGTATTTTGCGCCCTGCTGTGTCTGGGTTTCTCCTAGTGGTTGGAGGACTCCGCTGCCAGTTTAATGACGCCATGCTTCCTCCCTCCTGCAGCTGAAGCTCCGGCCGCCTTCGATCAAGACGACGACGGCGCAGCCGACGCTGCGGAGAACTTCCTTCCTGTCGAGGACATGGAACAAGAACCAGAGGAACATGTGGAGCGCCAACAGACCTCAGTACTTAGACCCATCTAAATCCTCCTGCTGTCTAACCTGCTGCGGGTTTCCCAGCTTACTAACCAGGTTCTGTTTCAGGCTCCTAGTGACGGCCGGATGATCCGGGAGAGACGGAATGTGGAGAAGCAGACAGAGGAGATGATCCCAGCTGCTGTACGTAAACAAAGGGTCCACTTATCTACTCTGCCTATAAAAACCCACCATCATGTTAGGAATCAGTGGTGAACGCTGTCACCATCTGCTGGCGGTGCTCTGCCAACGCATCCACTAACTGGAGCTTTAGTTCCACTGCAGCTCCGTTCTTAAAGCCCTTTATTTACAAACAAATGGAGCAAAACCCAAGTATAAAAAAAATACTTATACAACATATATAAATTATATCATTTAATCACACTAGACTGCAAACAGAGTAAGCTGTTGGTGTAGAAATTCTATTCAGTTTATTCATATAGCGCCATTCACAAAACACGTACAGTGTATACCCGGCTTTAAACACAGTCAGAGAAACGACTACTCTGAAAAACAGGCCGATCTCGAACATCTATATAAGGAAAGTTTGTACTTTCTACTTTTAGAAATTCTAGGAACCACTAGTAGATTGAGAGTTCCAGTCCTGTTCTGTTTCAGGAGGACGCCTGGAGTCTCCATGATCCCTACTCTGTCCTGAAAGCAGACGAGCCCTTAAGAGCAGGTGAGCGTCGCTGCTGCAGGTCACTTCCTGTTTGCCTGCAGCTCTGAAGGCGTTCTGCCTCCTCTCCAGGAAAGTACTACAAAGTTCCCGACGGCCTCGATGATGGAGGGAAGAGGAAGAGGAAGCGAGCGGCGCCCCTGCAGGACTTCAGGAGCTGGTTCAGAGGAGCCTGTGAGTTCCAGCTGCTGCTTCACTGTACTGAATGATTCCTCCGTCTCATTGCTGTGTGCGTCTGTTCCAGTCAATCAACCTGTGGTGAAGCTGAAGGTCGGACCCACGTTCCTAGGTACCACAGAACCATCACTGAAACGCTGACAGGAAGCATAGAGCTGCTAACTGAAGCTTTGTGATGTTTCAGACCTCAACTACATCTACCAGAGCACCATCAAGGACAAAGTGAGGAGACAGAGGAGGATCTGCAGGCGAGTGGTGAGTCCACCCAAACCGGGAAGCCTCCAGTAAAGTGGGTCCAAACTAAAGCAACCGTTTCCTGCTGGGGACGTTTTCCTTTGGAACGAAGCTGCTGCTGCTGGTCATGGATCTGGTTCCACTGGACAGTCGGACCTGTTCTGGTTTGGACTGGTTCCAGGATCCACTTTCTAGATTTTAAATGTGAGACTTGGACCAGCGGAACGGCACCGCTGGAGATGGTTCTGAAAAAATTAATCGTTATTAATCGATTATTGACATAATCCTCAACTAATTTAATAATCGATTAATCAATAATTGGAGTATACAGACTGTAAAACATGGCTTTAACTGACAGAGGGACCCATTAATTATACAAAGATTGCAAAATATATATATAAACATCTTGCAATTAAGATAAATAAACCTTTTTCATCTGTCAATATGCTGCAATCTGCAGTCCGAGCCACTTTGGACCCCCTCCAGCGACCCTTAATAGCGGCTAAAATGAATATGAAGAGCTAAATAATGTACTATGATAAATACCAGTATTAACAGCTTTAGTGTTTTTTTGTAAGACAGGAAAAAATAAGATTAAAAGAACCAGAAATCTGTTTTAAGAGACATTTTTCTTTAAAGTAGCTTGGAAATTATGTGTTTTAATATTATTTTTAAAGATAAAAATGCATGAATTGTCAATTGATTAAGATGGCAACTAATTTCTTATACAAGACTTAAAAAATTGAAAAAAAAGTTGTTTTTTTTAAAAGTCATGTTACATTTTGCGGCTCTAAACAACTTTTACTTGGTCGGTCTCTGAGAAAAACGGCTCTTCGGATATGAAAGGTTGCAGACCGCTGCAGAACTCCACAAGTGGAAATGTTTTAGTTTCACTCTGTTTCATTCTATTCGAAGTCTCTTTTGCTTTCAAATTATTAATAGATTAATTAAAAAATGATTGACAGATGAATCAATAGTTTGAACATTTTGGTCCTCGTGTCAAACTGCGTTTTCAGCCAGGAGAACATCAGAGCTTTTATTTTGAAAGAGTGAATTAGTTCATCAAAGGATTGGATGTTTGAAACTGTTGCATTATTTCTGATGATGTTTTCTCTGTTTTTAATTGGGGCGGTTAAAGGGGTTGGGAACGTCGGAAAAGGAGCTGAAGAGGACCTTCCTGCAGCCAGAGGAGGCGGAGCCTGTGGAGGACTTCAGATGTGCCGAGTTGCTGGGTAAGTTTCATTTCCAAAGGTTATCTTCAGTTGGAACTATCAGCTCAGCCTCATGTTTCTGCTGTTTGAAAGAAAACAAAGAGCCAGGAGCTCATTTTTCTGAGGTTCAGCGAATGCATCACGGCGTGGAGATGTTGAACTGCCGTGTCGGTACCAGATCTGCAGACCTGACGTCAACATATGGCAACTCCACTCAGACAATCTGTAGACACCCGTTTCTTAAGGATCAAATCTTTTTTGGAGTCTCAACATATTATTCCCTATATTTGCTATTATTTTACATTTCATCTGCGATCTAAAGTAGCCGAAAGTAGAAAACAATCGTCAGTCTGCGTTCTAAAACTAATCTTTATTTAACAAGGTGAAAAAAAGGTCTCTGTTCATTTTTTTTTTCTTTTTACAGTTGTTGTTGATTCAAAGTTAAAGTAGTGTAGCTTAAAGTGGCTAACTAACTGAGTTAAAAGAGGCTAACCTGTTAGCTACTGAGCACAGCTAGCCACAGCGCTAACCAGATCTGCCCCCTTATATTATGGTCTAACAGTTACTTTGTTCACCATGAAAAGATTTTTTTCATTTTTGTATCGATCAGGTAAAACTTCATCGATCATTAGACACGCTAACAGACCGCTGTGTGATGTTATTATTGTTGTCTGGATAACTGCTATGTTTTACATCATGTGGCAACATTCAGCCAATCATTTAGCGTTACGTCACTGGCATGAAGCAGGACCCCAGCAGATCTGGTTCCTACAGCGGCCTGATGACAACGGGTTCAATTAAAGAAAAAAGGAAAACGATTTTCTGTTGAGAAGTTTTTATTTAGGAGGAATGTTCAGAACTGGTTATGTTTCACCTTCTGGGGGTCATTTAAAGGAAAAGTCCAGTAGCAAGGAATAATCAATGGATCATTATCTATACCTAAAACTAATACGTTCGCGATAATTTAATGAATTTAGTGTTAATCTGTAAAAAAATTTTTAATAATTTTCTTTGCGATCACTGAGTCTGGGAGCGGCCATTTTTACCCAAATATAGTAGCCCCTCCCTCCTGCCATCTTCCAGCAGTGACGTCACGGTGCAGTAAGCCTAGCGCCATTCTCCCCGCTTTACAAGCAAAATCAATGGGAACTACTAGACACATCTGCAATCAACAACAATTATTGAAGATTTCCAGAGGACTTCACCATTGAAATTCACCAGAGCTATAGTGAAAAAAAAAGAGTTATTTCACCTTTCTGATTCCTGATCCTCCATGGACGGGTTCATCGTTGGAACGCCAACGTTAAGAGGGAGGATTTACCATCGAACTTCTGGCCAGAGAAAAAACACGTAATATGTAGCCAACATTTGGAAGAAGAATGTTTTCAAGATGACTTGGATAATAGCGCGTTGTGACAAACACCAGATACAGCACTGGGACTTGATCAACAGCCGATACCGCACTGTGACGTCACTAACCAGTAGGTGGCAGTAGTGTTCTTTGACTAACATGGATGCCTCCAGTAAAGCACATTCAAATGAAAATTACTCTGAATTTAAAACACTGATCATTTATTGAACAGGATGGAATAATTTCTTACTTAAAGTACTTTCAGAAGTTTGAATTCTGAATATGATCGAACTTTTCCTTTAAAAATAAAGCTGCGTTCTCACTGGAACAAGAAAATGGGTTATAAATGCATGTCTATGGAAGCTAAGTGGATCTCTGTACCTTCGCCTTCCATTCCGGGTTAATGGTGAACAAAGTGAGCAGGTCTGTTTTTTATGCCTGTGAAGTCTGCACCTTCATGTCCAAACTATGATGCATTCGCTGACCCTATGGAAAGTTTGCTGATCCGTGTTAACGGGTCTGTACGCTCCTCCTTTAGGTGCCGACAACGACGACTCAGACATGGAACCTGATGGGTTTCCTGATGACATTCCTGCAGAGTTTGCCGGAGCTCCAGACTTCAGCCCTGCAGGTAAAACCCTCGATCAGATCCAATGCAAGTGAACGGAAGAAGAGAGGCGTTCCTCAGGGATGTTTTCCTTTTGTTTGTCTACAGAGGCTCAGAAGGACAATCTGACGTACGAAGACTTGGTGATGCTCCGGGTTGTAAGTGATCAGCAGCATCGGTGAATCCAGACCGGATCGGCCCTCTGAACGGGACTGATTCTGTTCTCTGTGCTGCCTTCAGGAGCAGATGGTGGTCAACAGTCAGGGCTACGCCCAGGAGACGGCTCTATCCCGCAGAGTCAAGGAGTGGGAGGAAAAGATCCGGCCTGAGCTGGCGCTGCAGGTGGGAGCGGGGCTGGGAGAACCGCCCGGCGTTCCCAGTCTTCACCTGCATCTCACCCATCCTGTTTGCTTTTTAGGAGGAACGCCCCCCGTTTGACATCCACGACTACGGCGAGCGGATCGTCAGAGAGCTCGGCGACGTCGGCCGGCGGCGGTTGTTCGCTTCCATCGTTAGTGGTTTGGACAACATGGAGGCCTGCAAGTACATGCTGGCTTCACTGCAGCTGGTAAGCCTCTGGTGCCGCAGCCTGATCCGGAGCAGAAATAGGTCCGGTCTGTGATGTTTTGGGGCTTTCCTTCCTGGACCCTGCAGGCTCTATGAAAACTCTTATTAAAATACTCATTTGGGAGTTTCTAATAGGGGATATATCGAATATACTCCATATATCTCCATTTTTCCCACGCACGATAGTTAAAATGACTCTTGCAGCCTTCAAGTACAAATTCGAAAATGAAATTAAGCCGTCTGCATCTATATCATTGAGTTTTAATTTTCCCACACACTTTGAAAGCAACATAAACCCTCCTCCAAACAGGATTATTTTCTGCGCGTCACCAGCAAACCATCAACAGGAGCAGAAATCTGAATGAATATTTAAGAAAACACCTCATTGCAGTGATTCCCTGAGAGTGTTGCGGCACTACAGCATCCGGCAAACAAAATATGGCGACCGCTGATGTTTCAGCTGAGCAACATACAGTGTTCTGTCAGCTCAACATACCCTTCATAATACGCATGCTCACGCATGGCTGTTATTAGCAGCTATCAGTCCCATAAATGACTTCAGAGCTTGCCACTAGGCTCAGATTATTGTTTTCTACTTAAAAAGACACTTTAGATTTAAAAATGGAAAGATATTCTTGTTTTTAATAGATAAAACAATATATATTTTTTTTCTTATTCAAAAATTTACTGTATAACATGGATGCATAAAAACCTCATTTTATTTCAGTGTTAAATTTTATTTAAAGTAATGGATTATAATTAATGAATCTATCAGTAATCTGAAAATAATTTCAGTAGTTCTTCACGTACTGTAAAAATAAATAAAAGTGATCCACATGTCGTTCATGTTTAACTAAAAACAAATAAATCTCATATCCTGTCAACTGAGGTGTAGAATCCGCTCTCTATAGATATTTAATTCTCTGTGGAAAAAAACCCTGATTATTTTTTAATAAGATCCTCATCTAACAGACATGAAATGTTTTGGTTTTTTTTTTGCGTTTTATAGCCCAAATATATGTCGTGATATTAGATTTTCTTCATATCGCCCTGCCCTAATTTCTAACAGAACATGCTCTCAAGCAAAGAAGATGAAATATTCGTTGAATTTAGATGTTTATTGGGGGAAACTTCATGGCTGAGGTTCTGATCCAAACTGTGTTTGTCGCCCTCTGCAGGCCAACGACTACACGGTGGAGATCGACAGCACCGTGGGTCTGGAGGGCGTGGACACCATGGCCCTGACCCTGCTCAGCACCCAGAGAGCCACGGACCGCTTCCACACCCTGTCTGGGCTGTGAGACGGCGCCATCCAACTTTAACAGAACCCCTTCTTTCTCTTTTCATAATTCCAATAAAATATTCACTTTATTTCGTACATCTGTTCTCCTGGAAAACCCTTTTAATCCACAAACCCAAAGATCAAGGAGTCCAGTTCTTTTATTTAAATTCTCACAGTAAACATGTTTGAAGAAACAAAGTCACCATAGGAGGCAGCAGAACCCGTCCACCGCGACGTGCGGTTCTGTCTACAGTCTGACATAGTTCTGGATGTGGTTCCTGATGCTCTCCACAATCTGCTCCTGCTTCTTCATCCTGTTGTAGTAATCCAGGAACAGTCCGTCCGGACTCACCAGGTAGATCAGGATGGTGTGGTCCACAATGTAGTCCCCGTCCTCATCTTTGGGTCCAGGGCTGGCGTACACCCTGTAGTCCCGGCCCGCGTGCGTCACCTCCTCCGGGGTGCCGGTCAGCCCGATCAGGCGGGGGTGAAAGTCTTTGACGTAGCGGGCCAGCGCCGCCACGTCGTCCCTCTCCGGGTCCACTGTGATGAAGAGCGGCTGGACGGCTGGCAGGGAGGGGTCCCGGTCCAGAGCAGAAACCACGGCGCTGAGCTTGTCCAGCTCGTCCGGACAGATGTCGGGACAGTGCGTGAAGCCGAAGTACATCAGGACCCAACTGCCCAGGAAATCCTCCTTGGTCCGGCGCCGGCCCGTGTGGTCCAGCAGGCTGAACGTCCCCTGACCCAGCGCCACCTTCCTAAGCTGCTCCACGCGCTGCTGTCGGAGTCTCTGCTGCTTCTCAGAGTCCACATACCACCACACACCCAGCAGACCTCCTCCAAACAGCAGCGTGACCCCCAACCGGGTCCGCAGCTTCAGCCTGGCCTGAGAGGACGACGAAGAGCCTGGCGCCTGGCAGTAGAACCGGGTCTGAGACTGGACTGACCTCCGGAGACGCAGCAGGGATCCACCTCCTGCGCGGAGATCTTTGAAGATCCTCATTCCCAACATGATCGACCACTGCAGAGAAAAACCGACACTTCCAGGTTAAACAAGCGACGGAGCAAATGCTTTGATAGCGTTCACTTCACCAGGACACGACCAATAGATGATCAAAGGTCTCCTGTAAATAACCGATTGGTTAACTGGGCTGAGTCAATGTAGCTAAAACATTTTGACGTATAAAATAATAAAAAAAACGGTTTAATAAGAATTGTTGCTTTATTGTACGATGGAGTATTAGGGCTAGGCAGGAGATTTTTCTTTCTATTTCGAGAATAAAGTCGTAAATTACAGAATAAAGTTGTATTTTATGACAACTCTTACAGGAAGCACTGTCTTCCCTAAAATGAATAATGTTGAGTAATAATACGACTTTATTCTCGTCACAAATTTATGTTCAAATAAATTTAAAATTCTCTAGCCTGGCCCTAGTACTCCTTCGTATTATTGGAATGACTGGAATTGGTTACAAATATTCATTAGGGGGAGCATTTGACCTGACCAATATGGCGACCGTAGCGGGAGCTTCCTTAGTACCCCTAGCGGTCAAACATCAGTACTGCTGGAGCCGGCTGTGTTGTAATTGACCTTTAAAATACTTTCAATCCAAAACCAGATTATTTTTCACTCAAATGATTCCAGCATTCATATAACCAGACACTCACCCGGGCTGACAGGAGAGTTATAGTAGAAATGGAGCAAAAATAACAGCTAACGGTTAGCATTGAGCTACTAAAGTCTTGTGGTTTACAGTTAGCCTCCTAAACTAAGTACTTTTAAAAGGCTCTAATCACTAATGGTTCCGACCCGAACTCACCTGCCTGCAGCCCCTGGGCAATCCAGAACCACCAACCTTAGCTGTCACTCACACATCTAGCTGATACACACTACTGCGTGTTCCACCCGGACCAGAAACAGGGACGGACCGCCTGCTGCTGATTGGCCAGTTTAAAAGTGAAACACGCACCATAAAAGGTTCAGAATCGGGTGAAAATCTCAAAAAATCAGCCCTTTTAAAACTTTTTACATTAAAAAACAAAACAAAAATCAATTTCACGATAAGTCAATTCTGACGAAGCGATTAAAAAAAAAAAGAGATAAAGAAATTACAGTGGAAACGAAGTTGTGTTTTTCTTATGTTATTATTGAAGTGTTAAGGTCAAACCAATTAAATATTTGGATTAGGGAAAGGACCATAGGCGTTTTAAGACCTTTTTGGGGGTGCTGAAGCACCTTTAAATTGAATCAAAGCACCCCTAAAATATGTATGTTTTTGTTTTTTTGCGCTTTTTAAATATAAAAGGTAAAACAAAAACATACTTAATATAGTCTAAAAACTATACAGTAATTGCATATAAATATATATATAAATCTGTGTGTGTGTACACAAATATATGCCAGTGAAATAAGAAATCAATGAAAATCGTGCCATTAATTTTCAATTATGGTTTAACAGAAATATTAATAATAAACAAACAAAAAAGCAGGTAAACCAGCACGATGGAGCTCCTAAACTAAAATATTTAGCAACACTCTTAGGGAATCACTGTAATCAGGTTTGTTGGTGAAATGTTCAGGAGCAAGGGGCTCTGATGTGTCTGGGACCATTTTTAAATCCTTATTTTTAAAATCACATTTCAAAATCAATATTTCAATCTATCAAATCATAATTTTGCATGCTTTTATTTTTATATATTTTTTCAGTTTCTTGTTATTAGAATTACTTTTGTGAATTTATCCTTTTCTCTTTGGCAGTGTGTCCAAATGTTCAAACACAACTGCATATATTTACCTTGTTAAATATAATCCATTTTAGGATTGCCGGTCCAAAGAGGGAGAGGTTTACAAGGGGAAGGAGAGGAGCAAGGTGTAAGGTGAGGAAAAGCCAGGTAAGTTTTGGTACAGCCCGTCCAAGAAGACAAAACACAAAAGTCTCAGATAGGAAATGGTGAATCCTAGAATCGCTCCTGGAAAGGACAAACATTTCTATTTTCTTTTTAAAGAGTATAAAAAAACTGAATTCAATTGATGTCTTGTCTCCAGAACCACTGCAGCATCTAAATGGGTTTGGCAAAGTCAGTTATGGATCTTTGACGGAAACGGTTTAGAACCAAGATTCCAACTGTTGGCCATATTTGTTTCCCACCAGAGGTTAGAAATCATTTCTGTCTGTTGCTGCTGAACTGTTCTGGTTATGGACTAAACAGCTTAAGATCTTATTTGGTAAACAGGGATTACTTTGTATCATTTGGTTATAATTAGTATTGTTTTTGACAGCCATCAGGACGAAAACTATTATTAGTCTTAGTCACATTTTAGTCATTATGATATGTGATAGTTTTAGTCAGTTTTAGTGGACTCAAAACTAAAAAGTCTAGTTTTAGTTCAGTTTATTTATAGCGCCAATTTACAACACATGTCACCTCAAGGCACTTTACAGTTCACCAGATCATCCAGTCAGATAGATTCAAAGTTTTCTATCTAAGGAAAATTTGTTGATTGCATTGAATCATTGACTCGAAGGCAATTCCTCACACTAAGCACGCTTGTAACGAAAGTGGAGAGAAAAAACTCCATTTTAACAGGAAGAAACCTCCAGCAGGCTCAGTGTGAGCGGCCATCTGCTGAGGCCGACCACAGGTGACCCAGTTCATCGTTGCTGCTGGGAAGAAAACTTTGATTTACAGACTAAATTTTTTTATGAATTTATGCCCTACTTTATACAAAACCGTCTCATAAAAGCTGTGAAAATAGCAGATCTAGTTCAACATATCATATTGGTTAATATAGCAGACAGACAAGCTAACAAAATGTACAATAAAGGAATGGTTTTAGACATACAAGGTTTTCATCCCACAGCAAAGACTTCCTGATCTACTATGAATTCTATGTGCATCATACACAGATCAAGAAACTCTTCATTACTCCAAATAAGTAAAGAACAAAAACATTATTTTTTCTGCTTTGACAATTTTTGGCTTTATTTCTTCAATTCACCCCTTGGTTACTGCTTCTCAGGGGTCAAAGTAGATTTAAATTCACAGGGTTTTGATATGAAAAATCCAGAGAGAACCTAGATAATTGTCTTGTAATGTCATGGCATCCAGACCTAAATTGAATGAATATGTTCACTAAAATTTGAAAAATATTTAAAGGAAACAGAAAATGTTTTAATGACAATGCAAGGAAACATTTACATCATATTCAAATAGATAGAAATGAGAACAATGAGAGAAATATTCTATGTAGCTTTTCATCTGGCACTTTATCCAAAATGGAACAAACAGTATGTTAAGAAATATATGGTTTGGATATAATTTAGAGATTCAATTTGGTAGAATTTAAGGAATGTCTGGCATTTTATGTGAGCTGGAAGAAATAAAATGTTGATAGGTAGACAAAAGGATTTTTTACAATGTGCAGCGGATGATCAGCCACATATAGTTTATTAAGTAACGAGAGCAGGAAGAGCCATACTGCTGACAGAGAACCATTAGAGTGGAGCGTGAAGCGCAGACTGAGCTACGTGAACGCAAAGATGCATTTCTGCATAAGCACAGCTGGAAGAGAAGAGTTAGTTGGAGTTCAGCTTGCAGCACCGGTGTTCTGTCAGACCCCTGAACCATTCTGGATTATTTTCACCCCGCCGCTGCTGCCATGATCCATCTGTGCTCATGCAGAATGAGCACCGCTGCATGGCAGGTGGGCTGCGTGTTCAAACAGGACCCAGCAGCATGGCTGATACCTCTTAGCAGATTACGGCACGCTGTTGCATTTTGAACATCTGACCGACTACCTGCTAGTTTTTATTTAGTCTCGTCTCGTTAAGTAAAACTCACACCCATAACGCTCAAGTTTTCGTCAAAAAAGATCCATGTTTATCTCTTCAGTTGTCGTTATCGTCATGAAAAAAAAGGAGCTACAACAAAATAATCTTGTCATCCTCGTTGATGAAAACAACACTGATTATGATACATTTGGGCAGATCAAAATAAAACGTGGAGTTCCTCAAGGCTTAGTTCTTAGGTCACTCTTGTTTCACATCTTTATGATCTTCCAGGATTAGATTATAGAGGACTAATGCCTCTCCTTCAATTATATGCTGAAGACATTCTTTACATCTCCTTGTCACTGCATGACCCTTATCCTGTGTGCTTACTGGGTCAGTTTGTTCAGATATTAATGAGCAGATTGGTCAGAATCTCTGGTTCTGGATCAAACTGTTTTGGTCCTAATGTGAGGAATAGATCAGCATCTGCTAGACTCCATTAAGTTGAAGACCACAGAATAAGCGAGGAAGCTTGTAGAAAACTTAACAAAGTTACCAAATCAACTTTCTATCACCAGAAGGAAGTATTTCCTGCCTGGACAAGAAACAAAAACACTTTCCCCAATAATAAAACTTTAGCTCTGCTACTACTGTGGCTCTAGAATGATGAATAATAGCATATCATCTGCATATTATATAATAACACATTATCCGTAAAAACTCTCACCTACAAACTGAAAGTTCTGGCTAATGGGTGTGCTCTGGTTTGTTAGCGCCCGTGTACCCATGTAAGGAGGCCTTAGTCCTCGACGCGGCCGAGATCCTTTGCCGCATGTCTCTCCCCCTCTAATACCCCTTTCTGTCAGCCAGCTGTACAAAATAAACAAGCCACTAGTGCCAAAGACCCATTTGAAGTTGAAGAACAAACATGGAGCTGCTTTTGTGAAGCAATGAGATCCTCAACCAGATCTTAGTGGACTAGAAGCTACACCTTAATTTGACATGTCTAAGAATCTGTGAGGGTATGCCAGAAGACTGAGTCTGTTCCATAAACATTTTGATTAACTTAACCCAACCCGATCAGATTCAGAACATGATCACAGTATTATAACTAAGGACTGCTGTTCATAGGGAACAGGGTTGACATTTTAATCAGAGTTAAACAGTTTGGTTACAAATGGCTGATCTGGTTCTGATTTAAAAGCATGGTGGACTCAGTGATCCGGACTTGAGAACATCTAACATGTTCTCTGGGTTCTTTTTGCAGAAGGAACTCTGTTCTTGCTGCAGAAGGTCGGCCATATTTGGACCTGCTGTGGATCTTCTCTCTCCAGCTAAAATAAACATTTCTGTTTCCTTCTGAGAATCCAGACTCCTGCAGCCAGACTGTTTCCTTCTCCTCTGAGGACGTGGCAGCTCCTCCCTCCCCCCTACTCCTCATCTTTCAATCTTTGATGTGGACCAATCGGATGAGAGGTGCAGCTGTGGGCGGGCTGTGATTGGCTGGGAGTCGGACAGATGTTTGAGATGTTTGGAGGATCAGAAGCAGAGGTGAGCCAGATGAGCAGGAGAAGCTGCACAGACAGGTGAGTCCCTCCTTCTGTGGAGGGAATCTTTAATCATTTTGGTTTGGTTCTGAAGGAGCAGATTCTCTCCATGAAGCAGAGCTTAACTTCCAGAAACATGGAGTCAAGTTCAGATTTTATTGCAAGAAGAAGAAAAAGAGAAAGATTCACCCATCATACGGGTTCTAACATTTAGGCATAAATCAGTCACATTAGAAAACTGATCCTGGATGCTGGAGGAAAGTGCCTCTGGAGAGAGTTTATCTTTATGGGGTCAGAAGTAGGAGAGCCCCCACCGCCTTGGAGGAGAAGGAACCTGATCATATGGGTTGGATCAGGATGCTCCTCCAGATGTTTCAGTCAGTCATGACTCAGTGGCGCTCAGTGGAAATAATTTTCCTCCAACTTTAATTCCTTGTTCTTCCTAAAGAGTTCAGTCTGACCTTGATGGCTTCCTCTGACAGAATAATCTGCTATGATTCCATTCTTTTCCTGAAGTCTTCCACTGGACATTGTCAAAGTAAGTTTATTTCTATAGATCATTTCAGTAGAGAGACTATTTAAATTTCTGACACTTAGCATAACTTTATTTACACAATTCAAAACA